TGCCTAGTATGGAAGCTCGGTAGGGGTCGAAATTTAGGACACGAATCATGAGTGAATTTTAGAGACATTTCTTACGATAACTTTTTAACTATGAGTATTTTGTTAAAACATATTAAACAGAATTTGTGTAGAATTAGAAGATCTTTAATATGATATCAAAGAAAAAGGGCTGACTCATCACATTAGGGGCTGAGAAGGTCCGAAAATCTTTAATCAATAACTCTTTAACGATCAATATTTTGTAATGCATTACTGAAGCAAAAATGTTTATCTCAGCAATTTACAACTATGTATTATGATAGTCATATCATTTGTCACATAATTATGGGCCATAAGGGGCCAGAATGCTAAATCTTTGATGCTTTATATCTCAAAAGTTGGAAATATTCTGATAAGCAATATTGAACAAAAGATGTCCAAAATAATGTTCTTAACGAGATAAAACCTTTCATTTTTTGCTAAACATCCCCATTAAGGAGTTGAAGGGCCGGCCCCTAAATACTTCTCTTGCAAATATCTCAGAAACGAAAAAGAACTTCTGACTAGTTGTTGAACAAATGTGTTCAAAATCATGAGAGCTTAAAAGTGATATGAAGGAAAAGGGGCTGGACCCTCACAATAGGGGCTGAGAGGGGCCGAAAGTCTTTAATCAATAACTCTTTAACGATCAATATTTTGCGATTCATTACTGAAGCAAAAATGTTTATCTCAACAATCTACAACTATATATTATGATATTCACATCATATGTTACATAATTAGGGGCCATAAGGGGGGGGGGGGGCAGAATGCTAAATCTTTGACGCTTTATATCTCAAAAGTGGAAAATATTTTGATAAGCAATATTGAACAAAAGATGTCCAAAATAATGTTCTAAACAAGATGCAACCTTTCATTTCTTGCTAAAATCCCCATTAAGGAGTTGAAGGGCCGGCCCTTAAATACTTCTTTTGCAAATATCTCAGAAACGAAAAAGAACTTCTGACTAGTTGTTGAACAAATGTGTTCAAAATCATGAGAGCTTAAAAGTGATTTGAAGGAAAAGGGGCTGGACCCTCACAATAGGGGCTGAGAGGGGCTGAAAGTCTTTAATCAATAACTCTTTAACGATCAATATTTTGTAATGCATTACTGAAGCAAAAATGTTTATCTCAACAATTTACGACGATATATTATGATATTCACATCATATGTTACATAATTAGGGGCCATAAGGGGCCAGAATGCTAAATCTTTGATGCCTTATATCTCAAAAAGTGGGAAATATTTTGATAAGCAATATTGAACAAAAGATGTCCAGAATAATGTTCTAAACAAGATGCAACCTTTCATTTTTTGCTAAACGTCTCCATTAAGAAGTTGAAGGGCCGGCCCTTAAATACTTCTCTTGCAAATATCTCAGAAACGAAAAAGAATTTCTGACTAGTTGTTGAACAAAAAGTGTTCAAAATCATGAGAGCTTTAAAGTGATATGAAGAAAAAGGGGCTGGACCCTCACAATAGGGGCTGAGAGGGGCCGAAAGTCTTTAATAAATAACTCTTTAACGATCAATATTTTGTAATGCATTACTGAAGCAAAAATGTTTATCTCAACAATTTACGACTATATTTTATGATATTTACATCATATGTTACATAACTAGGGGCCATAAGGGGCCAGAATGCTAAATCTTTGAGGCTTTATATCTCAAAAGTGGGAAATATTTTGATAAGCAATATTGAACAAAAGATGTCCAAAATAATGTTCTAAATAGGATGCGACCTTTCATTTTTTGGTAAACGTCCCATTAAGGAGTCGAAGGGCCGCGAATATTTTAGAAACGAAAAAGAATTTCTGACTAGTTGTTGAACAAAAGTGTAAAAAAAAAAATCATGAGAGCTTTCAGGTGATATCAAGGGAAAGGGTCTGACACCTTAAATAAGGGGCTGAGAGGGGCCGAAAGTATACAATCAATAACTCTTTAATGATCAATATTTTGTAATATATTACTGAAGCGAAATAGTTCTTCTTCACACACTTTATCTAAATAACATGATGTTGATCTCATATGTTACGCAATAAGGGGTCTTTAGGGGGCCAGATTGCATAATCTTTGGCGCAATATGTCTCGAAAAGGAAGAATATTTTTATAAACAGTATTGAACAAAAGACGTTCAAAATAATATTCTGAACAATATGCACTCTTTGAATTTTTGCTAGACGTCCCCATTTAGGACTTATAGGCCCTTAATATTTCTTTTGCATATATCCCGAAAATAAAAAAGAATTTCTGAGTAGTTGTTGAACAAAAAGTGTTCAAAACCATGAGAGCTTTAAGTTGATATCAAGAAAAAGGGGCTGACCTCTCACATTAGGGGCCAAGAAAGGCCGAAAGTCTTTAACCTTTAATGATCAATATTTTGTTAAACATTATTAAAGAAAAATTGTTCGTCTAAACAATTTATTTATATCATTATATTTGAACGAAAATCTCAGTCAAATTCTTATCTCATCTTATCAAAAATCGGACGGAAGACCCACTCGTTGCTCGCAACGAGATCTCATCTAGTCTTAATGATTTTATTCGTATATTTTCCTCACATTTCCTATTTAATTGACACTGCCGTACTTTTTGTATGCAAGTCCATCGGAGGGTAATGAAAGGGTCTTAATAAATCGATCTAGTGCAAGGACATACACTCAATGGATCATAGTAAGCTTTTACAAATAAACTTTAGAAGAATTGAAATATCTGAAAAGTGCTGCGATCCTGGAGAAATCTTGAAAATGAATTAATTATATCTTTATTTAATGCTGCAAAAAATACAGCATACGGTCATACAAATATGATTTTAACAATGAAATAATAGAATCTATATAGGATCACAGCACTTTTCAGAAACTACAATGCGTGTTGAAAATATTTATACATACAACTTAAAAATTTATCTTGGTTATGCCCTTGCACTAGTGGGATTTATAGGTGACCTCAATACTGAAAGTAAATGTGCTAAAATCACGTGACTGCCGCATCACGTGACAAGTCTATATATAAAATCTTATCGTCCTCAATATGTACCTATTAACCATAATTACATTTGTCCGACATAAATTAAGTACTGAAAAGAATCGCCATCCAGATTAAGCAAATATTTTTAATAACAAAAACATTGCCGATATTTCCAATGCGCACTTTAACTGTATTGCGAATCTGTACAATCTACACCAGGATTATGATCTCGAAAAAGAAAATCTCAAGTTTACTTAGTCTACTACAAAGTCCATGTCAAGCAGTTAACCAGAGGAACTCAACTATCTGCAGGAACGTTGGAAGGAGAACGAGTTCTTAATAAGAAACTGAGAGAAAACCTTGATATTGACCATGATGTGATCAGCTTGCAGTAATCCGGACCAATCAAGCATAAATCGACCTACAAACAAACTCTTTCCTTGATTTGAACACTTGTGATTCATGAAGAAATGAGAAAAAACACCTCACTGTAGATGAACCTAAACCTTACTTTCATTGCATTCAATTTATTGTAAATTTTTGTGGCTCCAGGATATCACTGACAGTTAATACAATTATTTTACATTGTTGCGGGGCAAGGATATTGTGAATTACATGTAACTTACAGCTAATTTAATTCATATTTTACTTGTATCAGAATATCTTTAACATGTATGTTTAGTGAACAAAATGTAATATTTTGACATACTTAGAGTATGCCGTTATACACGTTACCATGATTTCACATCCACGCAACAGATTTGAGATTACAGTTCATAAGCTTGAATAAACACTGTACATAGCTGACGTGTTTTTCTTCAATGTCAACATCACCCATAACCAGAGTTAGTTTAATGTTACCACAGTTTAATTTTAATGCAACATTAAAGAATTCATTTATTATTCTGATCTTGTTTTTGTGCAGGCCCATAAAATTTCTTATATCCCTTCTCCTGTTTCCATGCAGGTGTCCTTCTCGACAAATAAGCTTATGAATATTTCCCTTCTGTTGTCTTACTGTTTTAATATACGTTGAACATTTCTAACAAAAATAATTATGATGCTGTGTTCTTAAAAGCTCCCGTTATGAATGCCTCCTTTTTGTTTAAACCAATTTACGAATTTTACCATCATCAGTCAGTCTTGGGATGTCTCTTGTCTGTTTTCCATACTTCCCTTTTCAAAAATGCTCAACAGTCCTTTCATGCATTCTTAATTTTCATTGTTTTTGCTTGTATTCAATCCCCTTAACTTTAAAACTACGTTAAATTCTTTCGCATAGATTCTTTTTTTTTTCTTCAACATTGGTCGGAAGCGTGTCAGACAATATTCGACAAAACAAAAGTACTACAACAACCATTGCAGTTACTAAACGCAGAGTTTAAACTTTTGTTAATAGCAAGTCTCGATTCAAAATTTGATCAGACCTGAAGCATGATCTAAGTATTGAATCAGTGACGTTTGATTGCAAATTGTGAATTCTGAAGTCACCTGTTGTTTCCAAATTTTTATCCGACCGAAATCTTTCAAAATTTCTATAATCCAGCTTCCTGTTTCATATGTCTTTTCATCCAGCAAATACTGGGTCTCTAGATCTGTTCTGGTTGCTTCACAACAGAACTTTTAAAAATCCGAATTCAAAGCGTAAATCCCTTTCAATCATGATATATTAAGGGTACAGATGCAATATTTATATATAATTGTCCATCTTAATGCATTATATGATATATAGCTTTGAAGTTAAAAACCATTTGGAAGCGAAGTTGATTGGTAGGCTATCAAATCTTCTTTGATTCGATCAGAGAACTTCATTTCCAGATGAAGTTTTAAAATTATCATATATTTCTTAACAAATATGTTCTTTCCTATTCGCCCAAGGAATTATAACTTAGGATGAAAACTACATAATTTACTTTACTTTTTCCTTTAATTTCTTCTAGTTTTGAAATAAGTATAATTTATTTCGAAATAACATTTCAACATTTTTTAATGAATGATTTCTTTTTTCAGATAGGATTTCAGCGGAGCAATCTGAATGCTATCACGTTTTTCAACATTGACTTGTTTATTTGTTTGTAGTAAATATTTGCGATAAGAATTGTGTTGATACTGTGGTAGGGCCAAATATAAAGAAAGCATTAAAGGGTATCAAGTTAGTTGTATGAAGTCACAGTAAAAGAACGGTCAAGATTGACCAGATAATGATTTATAAGAAAAATGTAAGTGTACAAAATATGATTCTTAGAACAGTATGTTAATCCAAAACTTCAAACCTATTTTAAGAAAGAAGCAAGTTTTTATCATAGATTTTAGCAAAGTTTTGTTGCCGTTGCCATGTTTGCTGAAGTGTGCAAATGAATTTATTTGTTGTCATCGATCCAAAATTAGACATGTATATATCATTGTGACACGATTGCGTGTTTTTCTTTGAAATTTATGGCTCTGTATTTGAATGCAGAATTACAATGGCCGGAACTATTTTGTGTACTGTATTATTAGCCTTTAACTGTGTCCTATTTACCAAACATTAGAACGATTTGATAATAACACGGTGCAATGGACGAAACTGGTAGTCTTCGCTGTCTTACTATGCAGCTATGTTAAGGCTGTCCGTAGGCTTAAAATGCACTAAAACAAACTGTTTTATTTGGTTTGTGTTGTGATTTCAATTTATGTATATATGTAAAACCAACTTGCGAAGACAGTTTTATCAGGTATAAAAATAACATATTTTTGTTATGTCACATGACTTTGGTGATCAAGTGACGGCACACAAATTACATCGGCACAAATGATAATCAAAATTATTTTGAACGTTTTGGTATATGAATAAATTAATTGTATCGTATTGTATATATAGGGTGCTGGTACAAGTCTGAATTTTATTTATATAGAAATTATTTCTCGAGAACTTCATCTTACCCGCACATGTGAATGTATTTTACACTCTTTATTGCAATTTATAAAAATTAGCTATAAATCAAATTATCCCTCAGTAATATTCAAATAGAGACATATACTACTCTTGTAGAATCACACAGAATATCTTTAATGTATCCTTATTAATCACTTGTGCCAGTCCAATTAATACACGATGTATAAATTCTTAACTCTGTCTGCGGACGTGTAACGGGGAGCATTTCAAATTCTACTTTTTTCCTTATTGCTTGATTACGCTGTATACGCGGGTACGTTAAGGAAGCATTCAAATCATTTCTATAGAAATTTAGACTTTTTAAAGAAGTTTAAGTTTTATAATTAATGAAAGCTGCCGATAAAACGTTAACTATTATTAACTATTGCATAAAGAGAACATAATGTCTGGTGCTCAGAAGTGCATCATCACTACCTCGTCACGTGACAGCTATTAATAGAAAAAATATCGCTTAATAAAAAAAAATTAACAGAACAACAGTACCCCGGCGATTTATAATTTCTTTGAATTCATAATATAGTTGAAAAGCATCTCTTTTGCCTAAAAAGTGCTGCTAGAGTCCAACTGTCCGGTCGCGAAAAAAATTATTCCACACATTCACACGAAACCTTACCCGATGTTTTGCATTATATACATGTACATATAACCCGAGATATTTCTTCAAACCATGTTTACCTCATGATTCTAGCAGCACTTTCCAAGTATTATAGAACGCAAGTTTTCGATCGGTACAAATCTTATGTTTTGAAGTATCAAGCTTAGTGTTGTTCTTTTGCATTATTGTTGTCACAAATGACAGAGAAAAGGTCGATCGAGATGGATAAATAGGTGTCTTCAATAGAAGATAATCGATAAAAATAAATGAACATTCCTGTTAAACTTTTACTCCATATGAATGACACACAATATTCATGGTATTACCTTCTAGACTCCCTTTAACGTATCTTTTTACATGTCGTCTTTGCCAAATTCTCGTTACACAACACGTTCAATTCTCAAGTTACTTGTTGAACAGTTACGGCGTCATCGGTCTTGGATTTTAATCCAAGTGACAGATACAGCATAGCAAAATAAAAACATTTATTTCTGTTAATATTTGCATGTTTCTATCCTTTTTTCAGGAATTTAATTAAATCTCTAAATACAAATATTAAGAAAACTTGTGTTCTAAAATTTACGTCATTTCGCCTACTATGACTCATATTGTATCACTAATTTAATCAAGTCTGAATATCTGAGTGCTTCCTTAACACACCTGCGTAACAGACAAGGGAAAGAAATTATAATGTCAATGCATTTATGCACCATTATACTTGAGTTTATAAACAATCCAGATACCTGAATTCAACATCAGCGTAAAATACTGTGTACACGCCATAAATACAAGAATGCAATTAAGCAATGAATCATTATTTTTTGAAAGATATAGTCTCATAGCTGCAACCGTGTGTGCAAACAAATTGAGTAATTCGCGTTAGCGTGTTATGAAATTTTTTTTTGCACACACCGTTAGAGTTATGAGACTATATCTTTCAAAAAATAATGATTCATTGCTTATATTTACATTGTTTTTAACTCTCTGCCTTGACTGCAAATGTGACTTATATTTCAAAACCCATGTATTATCCTTCGTGTAAGCTACAGTAAATGGAAGAGCCAATGTAACAGCTGCTGGTCAATGTGAGCGTGATTTTATATTTTCACTTATGATGTTGTACTTCCTCGGCGATCAACAATTGTGACGTCAAAACTAAACGCATGCTTTAGCCTTTTGACCCCCTTTCCGTGTTATGGTGTTTTGAATGCCATAGATTTCCACACACTTTATATGCAAAATACATATGTAATGTAAATATATATTTATGACGTTATATGTAATTATGACGTCATATCTAGGTAGTTCAGAGAAATTACTATTGCTGGTGCACTGTGATATTTTACGGACAGACTTATCCTAGCCGTATAAAATTGCTGAATTTAATTTGCTTGGTATTAAGCCCTTATGGAGCTTAACCTACTTTTAAAAACTAAAAAAATCTTTCAAGTTTTTGTGCATAAAAGGAAAAAAAGTATTGCTGATTGATAAGATGAAAAATGTTTAAACACATTTTTATGTATTTAAGACATTTATTTGATCGGATTCAAGATTTATTGTTATTTAAAAAAAAATGAGTCGATAGATTCAATGCCAATTTAATAAACATAATTGCACTTAGCATTGGACATTTCCTTGAATTACCCCCTTTTGTCGTTTTCTTAACATTTAGAGCAATTTTTCGGAGAAACATATGTTGCTACTACAATTAGACAACAATGTATGTTTCTATTGAAATGTCTTGAATTGTTTTTGTTTGTTTTATTATTTTTTTTTTAATTTCATTCAAAGTTAATCAGTTAACATCTATTATTGCAATAGTTAAGAAAACAAGATTTGAAATGTTGATTCTTATATTTTATTTATATATGTACTTTGATTTCAATCCTACAACAAGAAATTAGTTCATTTTTGTATTGATAACTCTATACCTACATGTATGATATAAATAATAATGAAAAACTGTAGAGTTTATATATACCCAGCAATGTATTAAGTATAAAGCATATAATATAATTGCCACTTATTATGTAATGTGCACCTGACAAATTTTATTTGGTCAAAGTATATTCTGCTGAATGAATTACATCTTACATAAATATATATTAAATAATGCACGTCGAGCAGGAGAAAGAGGTGTTCTCTCCTCACACCTATAATTTTTTGAGTTTTTTTTTTCGTTTTTTTAAGTTAATTTTCTGTGAATGATTTTTTAGAAGGGCCATCTGGCCCCTCAGATTTTTAATATACAGTATAAGTATTTGATCAATGCACACTTTCTATCAAGACATATTACTCAACTCTGGTACTCTTCACACAATTGCTCTGAAAAATTATAGTTCCATTCATGATCAGCAGATACATGTACAACATTACAAAATGTTTAGAATATCGATGTGTATGAATACGCGGAAGAAAACAAAATTAACGAAAAATTATTTTACAAAAATCACTTTTTCCCTAGAAATGTTATTAATATTCCTACTCTAGCTGCCTCTTAGTCTTTTTCATGAAAGTATATTGGTCATTCTTCGATTGAAAATCTTTTCAACAATCATATTATTTTCATGATTATTGTTCGTTTATTATCATACAATTTTTCTGAAAATGATTGTAATCATTAATTGTGTGTGTGTTTTGTTCTTTATTATTGCATCATTTGCAGCAATTTCTTTCGTTTTCCATGCAATAGGATTTTTCAGAGATTATCTTCATTTGGGGTCACTTCTTTGAGTATTTAATGATTTGTTCCAAGTTTTCCCAACATATTTATTTCGGCTAGCAGCCGAATAGAAACATTTTTGTCTTAATAGCAACCCTTTAGGTACTACACTGTGAATAAGTATAGACAAAATCAATTTTAGACATTAAATTTTATTTGTAGTACTAATTGAAATAATATTAAAAATATATATCATTTTTTATCTTTTTTCTGTTTTTTTTTTTCTGTTTTGATTTGCTGCTTGGAATAAAAATAAATGTTACCTTTCACAATTTGATTTCCTTATATTCCAGTGCAGTTTTTAACGGTCCCTCATACCTTATTTACTTTCAGCAAATGCAATGTATCATGAAGTCAAATGCTGTCTGACGCTTTTATACCAATTGATAGGTCACTATTTACGCACTGAATTGTCTACGGATTTTTCGTTATTTTCCTATCATTACAAGGAACACACTGCGGATATGACCGGTTGGAAGGGGATACTCACTCCTCAACGGTACCTGATCCCACTTCTGATGTTTTAGAGGTCCGTGTTTGCACTGCTCCTTATTTGCATTGTTGGAATGGACTTTTAAGCTTTATTTCCATATATTTCATTTAAGTACTAAACCGGACACATTTGATCAATTACTTCGATCCAGACGGAAAGCTCCGATGCCTTATTCGTTACTTCCATTAACTCTTGGTCAATTTCCTAGGTTGCCTTCAAATTGATTTGTGTAACAAGCCTATAGGGTCTTTCCCTGTCAGTAGACGCAGTGGAAGATGGCTCCCTTATTGCCTGGTCTGTAG